AGACATTTCTCAATAAATCTAAAAACCAAGGCGAAATGTAAAGAATTTTAGGTACTATGTGTGATGCCTGTATTCGAGTGCTGCCTGAGTAGCACTAGCAGTAGGTACAACTTTGAAGTATCTGTAAATGATGTTAGGTCATTTGAAAAGTAGCAAAACATTCCATTTAAAAGCTACTACCAATAAATGTTGCTTACAAAGAGACAATACCAATATAATCACTGAAAAGCACTTCCTACCATTTTTGTGAGTATGACAAACTATGTTAATCTGTGACACAGGACTAGACATGGAATTACAGTAGTAGTTCCACTAAAGCAGCAGGAATCTTTGTATTTCTCCATTCAACATTAAAGATGGCATCTTTTATGTAGGCCTCATTTATAAATCTCCATGAATTTAGTCAAAGACATTGGAAATTTATGTTAAGAAAGAGCAAACACATTATGAATTACATAGCTTTATTTCTCTGTGAGAGAAAGAGAATGACTGAAAATTCAGTCAATATAAGACTTTCACTTAATTAGAAGAACTTTAAAATATGTTAAAACACACAAAAAGGCAAAGCTGCTATCCTGGAGGATGTACAGTCTAGAACGTCACAGTAATGTTTGTTCACATGCCTAAATCCTTATATCCTTTTATTACTGAGTTTTTTGTGTGATCTTAGATATGAAGTGTCTCCCTGTGATTTTTTTTTTGTTTATTTGACAAGAAATAATAAAATATATATATATATATATATTTTTTTTTAGGAGCTTTGATCTGATATATATCTTAGTAAAATAAGGAGAAAGTGGAACTTCTATAAAATGCAATATTTTCCTGAATTGTTAGAAATCAGATGAGCGATGATGTTTTCAACAAGTGGTACTTCTCTGGTTGCCTCTATTCCTGAGTACTTAAATAAGGACTGAAATACGAATAGCTTAGAAGTGTATAATTTAAATGTGAAAGCTATAAGTTTGTTTTCAATTTTTTTTTTTTACAGCCTAAGAATATGAGGCTCTTTTCATATATGAGGGGAAACTCATAAGATTTTAAGTTTTGACATATAGAAACTAAAACCAAGTCAGAATAAATCTAATCAAAAGGTAAATAGTTGTCCTTCTTTTTTAATAAATTAATGTCACTCCATTAAAAAAATACTACCTAGTAGCAAAAATGTTTTCCAGGTTAAACTTAGAATAAAAAATATTAAATCCCTGATAAAAAAATGTATTCAGTTACTATAGGTTTTACCTTACTGAAATAAATCTAGTGCTTTCACATATTTAATTAAAAAGTTAATTTCCATAACTGTTGATCAGAACTATTTGTGAGTGAACAAAGTATGTTTCATTGAGTAGTCCTTGTCTGCAGCCAAACAATGCATTTATTGAAATTAATACATAACAAAAAACTCCTGGAAGTATAAAATATTTTCAAAAATATGTGACAAGTACTGCACATTCACCAGATATGAGGGCTGTCTACAGCAATCATACCAAATAAATAATCTACCTAACGGCTTTGTTAAGGCAGTATTTTATTCACTGTATTGCACTTTTGTGCCCGTGACATGACAGAAATGTTCCTGGGCCTTTCAGCATATGCAGACTCCTTTTTTTGATGCTACGATCATGTCAGTGCCTGATACATGAGTATCACAGTTTTTCTTCAGATATGATTCCAGCAAGAAATAAATTTTGTAGAAAATAGTTACTTATTCTTTACTGTTCTTATCTGCTTCAGACATTTTATTGAGTAAAATATATTTTGTAATAAAGAAGACTTGATACTGACTTAAAAGAAAAATTCAAGGGGCATTCAATTAATGTGAGGGTGAAACTCTTGGAAGTCAGTAATAATTTTGCAGAAAATTGACACTAGAATCATCTTAAATTACTGTCTCTTAACTCTGTGAAGAGCAATACACAAAAGAAAAAATGCTGAAACTTTTCAGAAATACTTATGACAACTCTTAAATGTTAGGAATTGGTCCTTTGGACACGCTAAGTGATTTCCCTTCGTTTTCAACAGTTGCATTATTTTGTTTTGACTAACAAATCACAAGCTGTAGAATATAATGGTTTGCATGGACTGAGGCAATTTGTTTCCCTCATTAATTAATATTCAAGTATTAATGCATTTCCTTCATCATTTCTTTATTCAATATGCTGTTTAACTTCCTCTTGGAAACTGTAATGAACAGAGTTTTAAAATGTGTATACACTATGTACAAGTAATAAAATCTGATAGTAACCTGACAGTATGAATTAATCTCCTGTCCTTTTTGGAAGGAAAAAGAGAAGAAAAAGTCAGGCTGAAAGGTTGGGTAGAGGAATGGAAAATATAAATTTTGTGATGAAAACGAGTTAAACTTACATATACTACATAATCTTGCAATGAATCTTTAGCAGTTGTTTTGCCTTTAAAACTAGATTTTAATTTATAAATTTCAATATGCTATAAATGATGAGGGGATGTTGAAGAATAAATTTCTGTAATGTGTGACCATGCCATATGTGTACATTTCTAACTTCTTTGGGGTGACTATCCTTCTCTATAGCCTTGGTCTCTTTACCTTTGTAATTCTACAAATCAGAGCTTTGTCCTCTCCTCCATTTTATGTTTTTTCTTCTCCTCCATTTTACACTGTATTTTCTAAGGTATCATGTCTATATTTGATAACCATATGAAAAGATAGAGAAAGCCTTATTTTGTCAATCAGCCTGCCTGTTGCCATGTCTTTCTTGTTTCTGGCAAGACAAAAATTACCAGGATTTCTGTCAGTCAGAACTCTGAAGCTCAGAGTTCATCAATTCAGTGGTATTAATATTTATGCCAATTTATCAGTCCAATGATATTACTTCAGACCACACACTAAAACTCTAAGCATTCATTCTTCACGGTATCCTGAGGCCTAATACTGTACATAAACGGTATGTTAGAATTAAGGACCTGATCCTGCAACCAGTATAATTTCATCAACTCGGACATAATTGAGACCTAAGTGTACAAACGTGTGTTTTTACAACACAGTGACCAGATGACCCACAGTGCCAGGGAACTGAGCATGTAGAATCATGCAATCACCCATGCTCTGCATCTGTACTGAAGGAGACACACACGGTGCCAAGTGGGCAGCTGGGTTTGCATAAATGAAATATATTAATATCACAAAAAGTAAAAAACAAAACTAAACAAAACAAAACAGTGATGATCTCAAATGTAGCGTGATTCAAATAAACATCAAATGCGATGAGGTGAGGTCTTACCATTCTTACTGAGACAAAACTTGAACTGGCCTCCAAAGCTGTCCTGAACTCTTATATGACTGATTGTAATTAGTAAGAGCTATGGGTCCAGATACAAAATTCCTAACAGCTTTTTGATTAAATCAGCTACCAGCCAATTACTGTGAATAGTTGAAATGAAATGTGTTTGTTCCTACTAGGAAGTCCAGTCCTCTGACAGCGCTGTCAACCTGCAAATGGATGGCAGCACAGGTCGGCAGATGATCGAAAGAGCAGACTATACTTCCTATTTTAAATTAAGTTACTCTGGAATATTATACTTTATAAGTAGTGCTATCTGACCTGCTCAACACTATTTAAGACAAGTAATTTTAAAAATGTAGAGGGGAAAATCCTCTGCTCTGTTTTTCTATTATTTGACGTATCTGGGAATTGTTTGCAAAGTCAGTTGGTTTTGCACTTTGTGTTATCTGACATGTATCTGTAGCAGGAAAAAAATTAATATTTTTTTGGCATAATATAGCCATTCTTTTAAAATCATTATTCTGGCAGATGCCTTTAGCTTTTACTCTTTTTTTTTAGGCTGAGCAGCTTTCAGTATTGACTTTTCATTTAAGAAATATTCATGTTCAGTAAAGAAGGCCAGATTACACAGAAATGTTCTTGTCCATTCAGAATAGCCATGCATGAAGGAAAAGGTGATATCTAAAACGTTTTGCATACTTCAACTCCAAAGGTTGTGTACATCATAATCCACATGACATAGTAAGGCCTTTACCTATGTTTTATTAGTTCAGTCCTAATTTGGTCCTTAGCTGAGATACAAATGCATGTAATTTAGTTGTTTACTTGTAAAATAGTAACTTTAAGATTTTTGGAGCACGATGGCCAATATGTAAAAAATAAAATGTTAATATAACAGATTAATGCCTCACATTAGGAATTTATTAGCTTAACATGGAGATGGTTTTAGGTAGCATTTGTAGGTCTCAACTAAATCACCAGTGAAGGCTGTATTGTCTGTCACTATTTTATGTAAGTCAGAATGTGCAAAATGCTTTACCAAAATGCTACAGCAATTTTAGTTGCAAAATTCTTTTGATTCGAAGCTCATGTTTCATCTGGCCATAACCCTAGGGGAAAAAAAATGTGGTTTGATACACATATCTATAACCACAGGGCGGGGAAGATAAATTACTTTGTGATACACATATTTAAGGTAGACATTTCAGAAGCAAAATTACCTATAGGGCAGGGGATAAGACTCTATTCCTGATGTTTTAAGTTAGCAGGCAGTAGGTCTGCAGAAATGTATAGCTTGGATTTGTGGACTTTAAAGCTTCACACCAATATACGCGCTTTAGAGATGTATTGAGCTAGGAGCACTTTAGGGGTTTAATAAGATGGAAGCACTTTTAAGATTTATGAAGAAATAAAAGCACTGACGAGCTAAACCCGCCCCAATAAACCCTTGCTGCGCCGGACGCCCCATCCCTCCCCAAACTCGGTCAGAAACAGCATCACCTCCCACTTCAAACCCCAAGGACCGAGGCTGGAGGATGCGTTCCCCCACTCGTGGATACCGAGAAGGGGGGGGGGGGGGGGGGGGGGGAGAGGGTGACACGCCGGATCCGCGGCGTGGGGCGGGGGGGACGGCGCGGCCGCGGAACCCTGGGCGAGCAGCACCTCCCTCTGCCCCCCCCCCGCCCGCCCCACGCCGGGCGGCTCCGCCTCGTCGCGGCGATCAGCTGCGCGCGCGTCACGTGGGCGCGTGTCGAAGGTCACGGCGCCCACAATGGAGCTGTCGGCGTACGCGCAGGGCGGGTGGCGGCTGCTGGGCGACCCCCGCCGCTTCCCCCGCCGGCCCTACGCCGCGCTGCTCCGCGCCGCTTTCCGCAGCCTCCTCGATCACCCCCAAGCCGGGTTGGGTAAGGCGTGGGGAGAGGCGGCGTGGCGTGGGGGGGGGCGGTGTGGGCCGCGCTGCTCCGCGGGGCGCGCAGGCGGGCGCCGTGCTCCTTCTTCCAGCATCGCCACGCACGTGTCCGCATATACGCACGCGTGTCCGTGCTGCGTTGCCCGGCGTCCACCCCCTACACACACACACACACACGGGGCGGCTCCCACTCGGAGAGTCGCCCGTGGACGGCTCCAGGGTGCCGCTGCGCGGGGTGTCATCGCTAATGCGTGCCTACTTCATTAAAGCTTAAACCCGTCGAAAATAGAGGGGGGGCCGGCCCGGGACCGGATCCCTCGCGCGTTCGTGTACTCATGGCGGGGCAGTGAAGCGGTTTTCCCCGGCCGCTCCGCCGTGACCGGGTTTTTTTTCGCGCGTGGGCGCTTCCTCCGGCCACCCCGACGTGTGGGTGTACGGCCGCGCAATTAATTTCGCGGTGTTAATGAGGGCGCCGCCGCCTCGGTGCGGGGAGGGAGCGGCCGGGGCCGGTGGCAGCCCCGGTGCCCGCCTGGCCGAGGGCTCCGGCTCCGCTCCTCGCCTTCGGCAACGGGCTTCTGAGGAGCGCAGACGGGACTTGGAGAGGAAATTGAGGGTTTCCTTTTCCCCCCCCCCCCCCCCCCCCCCCTTTTTTTTTTTTTTTTTTTTTTTTTTCTTTTTTTTCCCTCCCCCCTCCTGTTTTTTAATGGGAAGGAGCTGTAGAGGCGGCAGGGCGTGCATCGCTGGGCAGCCCCGCCGGGCACCGCTTGCACCAGCCAGTGCTTCAGCCCCTCTCCTCCTCCTCACACCTTGCCAACGTACTCTGTCCCTTCGCTCTGAGACACCAAATGTGTTTCATTTGGAAGTTTTTGTGGGAAAGACGCCGTTCAAAGGGCGAGCAGCAGCTCTTGGTACCGTGTGCTGGGATTTAGCAAATAAGTTTGTCATCAGTAATTCATTTATTTTAGACGATCCAGACCTGAAAGATATTGACCCTACGGTATTAAAACATTGCCATGCTGCGGCTGCAACATGTATTCTGGAGGCAGGAAAGCACAAAGCTGACATATCTGCTATAAGGTACTTTGAAGCTACCCCATTTCTCAAGCGGTTGTTACTTTAAACTGTACTACTGTGTTAATGTTAACAGAAAACTAATAAATTCTTTTTCCCTGTAGCACATGTCTTGAGGACTGTAAACTGGACAAAGAAAGAATAGAACAATTTTGCACCGAATATCAGGTTTTAAAACCTATTTTAACATATTTATGTTTTCTTTCTCTCATAGGAATTTATTGAATCTAGCAATTTTTTTTTTCTTTTTTTCCTTTTTTTTTTTTTTTCTTCCTCCAGAAAAACAAGGATGCATTGGAAATCCTATTGGGAAGGTAGGTCAATCAGTCAGCACTGATACATAGTTTCAGTTGCAGCTACTTTGAAACTGTCCTGGGAAACATATAGCCATACTTTAGGTGATTAAAGTATCGTTCCATTAAAAAAAAAAAAAAAAGTACATTTTTAACAAACTTCAGAAAACAGCTTTTGAAACTTATCTTTCTCCTTTTGGAATTCTACTCTCTTAAGAAATGTTTTTAACTTTTCAAGAAGCATTACAAGGACCATGAAAAAGTTCTTTATTTGATGACAGCTTGAGGAAATTACATTTTATTCTAGTGTAGGGAACTTGTAACTGTTGTGTCTTTCAGCATAGGCAGGTCTCCTCTTCATATAACTGATGTGTCTTGGCGCTTGGAATATCAGATCAAGGTAATTTTAACACATCAAGGTATTTCTTTAGTCTGTTTCAGTGCCAAGACCTGACTTTTTTTCTATGCTCTTTGTTTTTAATTTAGAGCAATCAACTTCATAAAACTTACCAGCCTTCCTACTTAGTGACCTTAAACGTAGAGGTACTGTACTCCCAGCACCCTCAGAGGAAAAAATGCAATTTCACAATATTTTTTTTAATAAAACAGGCATTGCTGTGTTTTTTTTTTTTTTCTTCAGAACAGTGATTCAGGATCACACCCAGATGTTAGTTTTAGTTGCACGATGGAGCAATTACAGGTACTTCTTTCCTTTATCACTGTTTCTATGCTTGGCTCCAGTTGTGAATATAAAAGTTTATAACAACCTGCTAATCAAAATGAAATAATATATACTAATACAAAAAAAAAAAAGAAATAACCAGGACTGGGAGGGTAGGGGGGAATCTTCTATAAAAATTATCCAAGTGTAGTTTTCCTGTCTTCTCAAATAAAGTTGCAAAGTAACTGGTTTTAGTTGCATGGTGAATGGTTTACATACATAAATTAATATTTTGGCTGTTTTCATAACTGTAATATATATATATATATATTTCTGAAACACTGATTTCCAGTGCTTTAGAGAAATTATTAAAGAAGCTGGTTCAATGATTTAAATGTGTCATGATTAAAAGTAGGGAACGAACTGAAGGCTCTTCAGTGGTGTTAATGACATGTAAGAAACCTACTGAAACAAACGTTGATCTTTGTTTAGTGATTTAAATGTGTAACTGAACAATAGAGGTATTGTAATGCTTGGAAGTGACCATACTCTGGAGGATTGGGAAGAGAGGTTGGGGAGAGGGGAAAAGCAAGATATTAAAACTTCAGGTTTACACCTCTGCTTTTTAAATGTGTGTCACAAAAGTAGCCCTTTTCTTACTAATGAGTGTTTTTAATCGGTTTGCTGACTTAGTTAAATATGACATGCTTTAGCTGGAGAATGGTCCTAGTACAAAATTACACTCAAAATATTTTCAGTATTTTAGAAATGTATATAGTAGTTCAAAGCCTAGAGCAAATGTCAGCATTAGCCATTGTAACAATGCCGATAAAATCTATGCATTAGGAGTAGTGATCTATTTTAGTATATGATATATGTTGAAAGGTGTTTTCCTTCAGTTCCCACTTCTCTTACTACATTGTAAAATAGGGAGCTGTTTAATTACTTGCTGGCATTGTTCATCGGTTGCAACATTTCTTTGTGGTCTAAGGTGCTGGTTTCTCTTGCCTCTCTGTATGAAAAAAATACTGTCTTCCTCTAGGTGACCTTTTGAAAAATATGCTTATTCTAAGACAGTATTTAATCTCTTAGGATTTAGTTGGAAAACTAAAAGATGCTGCAAAAAGTCTAGAAAGAGCAACTCAGATGTGATTGAAGGAGGATGTGTCAGCCTGCTGAGCTGAAGTACTCTCATTCCTAAGAGTATCTTCTAAATGACAAACGTCTTTCATCTCTTGATGCAAACTGTTTTGTTTGTGGGTTTTTTTAAGTCATTGGATGCGAATTAAGTGAAATAACAATTTTTTGTGACTGCACTTGGTATTCCTCGCTCGTGTCATTTTTTTTTTAATTAACTCCTCTTAAATACTTGCTTAGCTATCATGTCTTCAAAACATTCCTTCTATTTTATTTTGTGCATTTTTATAATTGTCACCGATTATTTTTCTCTGGGATCTAATAAAGTTTGTTCACCCCTGTTCTGCAATTTCTATGGGTGAATTACCTAAAACTAGGATGCTAAAACGTTAGATCAGGCGAAAAATCCCTTCTTCCCGTGCCGCGGCTACAGCGCGTTTGCTAAATTGCCCCCCGCGCTTTGTTACTTCACTCCAACTGATCTTACATCTTCCGTAAGAGCAGAGGCAGGGCCGCGGCGCGGGAGGCAAAGAAGGACGTCAATTTAATTTTCTGGAAGCGGAGCGCCTCGCCGAGAGCTGGCAGTGCGCGGGGCTGAGCGGAGCCGGGTGTCGGCTCCGGCTCGACGGCGTCTCCCCCCTCGTGGTGCCGCTCCGCGCCCGCCGCCGGGGCCGCTGCCCGCCCAGCTCCCCGCCGGCCCTGGGCCGCGGGTGGCCGCCGCGGAGCCGCTCCACGCCGCGGAGCCCGCCCGCACCTGCCGGCGGGGGCGAGAGGCCCCGCGGAGGAAGCGCGGCGGCGGAGAAGCCTCCCCCCCACACACCCCGCCGCGGAGCCGGGCACTTCCCTCCCCGCTCCTCCGCGCCCGGGCTGCGGGCGGCGTCTTGCCCTCGGCGGCGGCGAGCGCCCACGAGGGTTCACCCGCCCGCTCCGGCGGCGGCAGCGCCCGGCGCTCCCCGTCCCCTCCGCGGGGCGGGGGGACGCCGCAGACCCCGCGACACCCGCTCACAACGCCGCCCGGGGGCCGCCGGGGCGGGCTGGGGCCGGGGGCCGCCGCTCTGGGCGGGAAAGCGTAGGCGCGGCCCCCGAGGGGACGTGTCGCCCCGACGCCGGCGGCCCCGCGCAGCTCCGGGCGGGCGCGGCGGGGCGAGGGGCGCGTCCCGCTGCCGCGGGTGGGCGGCGGGCGCGCGAGGGGTACCCCCGGCGGGGGGGTGCTGGGCAGCGTGGCGAGACGGGGCGTGCGGGGCGGCCGCGGGTGGGAGCGTGCAACAAGTGCGCGGAAGGAGGCGAGGGCTGCGGGGGAAGGGGGACGGGCGGCGTGTGGGGCCGCGGCGGGCGTGCGGGGGGGGCTGCGGCGTGGGGAGGATGGAGAGGGCAGCGGCGGGCTGGGCCGGGGACGGCACCTCACGGGCTGCTCGGGGGCGTGGGGTGCTCGGGACGGGGCGGGGGGTGTGTGTATGGTGGGGGGGGGGGGCGGCTCGGAGGGGAGCGGGGGCTGGCGAGGGCGCGGGCGGAAAGCAGGGAGCAGAGGGGTCGAACGGGAGCGGCGGGGCGGGCGGAGGGAGCGGGGGGAAGGGGGCATCGGGCGGTTGCGGGAGGGTGTGGGTGTGGGGGGGCAGTGGGCGGGCGGGAGCCGCGGAGCGGGAGCGGGGCCGGGGGTCGGGGCGGGCGGGCGGGCGGCGCGGCGGGGAAAAGGAGGCATCGGCGGCGCGCGGGCGAGCGCGTGCAGGGCCGGGGGGAGGGGAGGGAGGGAAAGAGGGAGGGAGGGAAGAGGAGGGGGCGGCGGGCGGGGGAGGGGAGGGGGGGGGGAGGCGGGGGCGGAGGGGGAGGAGGCGGCCGGGTTGCGGGATTGGGTCACGGGGAGGCTGCCGGGCCCCGGCGGCAGCGCCGCTAATTCCCAGGCCGCCCTTAAGGAATGAGGCGCCCCACGTGACGCTGGCGGGGCGGGCGAACTCCGAGCCATTTTGGGGACGGTGTCAGTTTCCACTGTGTGCCTTCAGCGTTGCATTCTTCCCTCCTCCGCCCTCCTCCCGCCCGCCCGCCCGCCCGCCCTCCTTCCCTCCCCGGGTCCCCGCCACCAACTATGAAATAACAACAACAATAATACTCGTAATAATAATAATAATAATAAAAAGAGGAACGCGAGCGAGGCCGCGAGGCGGAGCGGGGGGCAGAGGGAGAGACAATGGGCTGGTGGAGAGAGGACCCATCCGGACCGGGGAGACTTTGCGCTCCCAGCGCCTGAGCCGCCCGGGCGGCGAACACGGAGGGAGAGCGAGGGAGCGAGAAGGGCCGGTGGACGCGAGGAGAAAACCCGGGTGTTTTGTAACTAAAATGAGCGGAGCGCAGCGGCGGCGGCGGCAATAAGCTTATTGCAATTGACAGCGTCTGCAGTTCATTTCAAGATGGCCGCTTGGCTCACATTCATTTTCTGCTGAACGACTTTTAACTTTCATTGTCTTTTTTGGCCGCTCCGATCATCACCCACCGGCTCCGTTTTCCGGGTACGTATGAAGCGAGGTGTCGCCTTACCAAGGGCGGGGGGCGAAGGGGGCTCGGCGGCGGTTTTCGGCCGGTTTGGGGGCTGCAAAGGGGAGCCTAGGTGTCCCCCGAGCTCTCCGTATGGGAAAAGCGCTGACAGGCTGCTCCAGCCACACACACACACATACAGACACGCAGCAGCAGCCTGTGCACTCGCTCGCGTTACGCACCCACATTTGCAAATTTTAGTTCCTTTCTTTCTCCAGACGCCCCCTAAAACCTTTCTGTGCACATGGCCCCCGAGGAGAATATTTATATTTCCAGACCCTGCTGCCAGCCCGGCCTGAGCGCCCTTTGTTTAAAAGCAGATTTTGATTAAACAGGGACGTTCGTGAAATCTGGAGCTGCCTGGGTCAAGTGATTTCAGTCCTCCCCGAAAGAAATGTGTCTGGGGGAGGTTAAAATGTCAGATAACGCACCCATTTTATAGAGATAGAGCCAGCGGGGGGTAGCGATCCTCCTGGAGGGGTTGTTAGGCGTCGGGGCACCCAGCAGAAAATGTTATTAACTTAAGTTGGACAAGTACTTGTGTGAAATTGGATGGGTGGTAAGATGGCGGTTCCCAGTTGTTTCCAGTGTCTCCTCTTACATTTCTGCTCTAAATGCTAAAGTTTGGGGGTTTGTGCCTGCTTGGAGAGGAAGGGGGTGGCCGACACCGAGAAATAACTTTTTTTGGGGGGTGAGGATAGCAGTTTGGCTGCGATCTTGAGGAGCTGGGGCGTGCGGTTTGCTGGAGCCTTTGGAGCAAAGGTGATCTGTCTGTGGGACGCAGGGGGGTTTTTTTGAATTTGTTTTCTCTAATTATTGGGGGGGGGGGGCGTTTTTTGTTTGCTGCTTTTTTTTTTTTGGGGGGGGGGGGGTTCTCTTGAGCCCGGGAAGGGTAAATTTACATTAAATCCTTTGTCAGATCTTAAAGATGTCACGAGTGAGCTCCTCGTGCTGCTCATGGGCAGCACTGGAAAATTGCTGGTGTATCTTTTTGTAATTGTATGGCCTTGGCAATATATAATGTGGGATGTTCCTCTGTGCCTATTGTAAATATTTACAAATAATCAGGTAAAAATAAGCAGAAAAATCGCATTTCTGTAAAAGTGAGAGAGTCACTTTTCAGCCTCTAGAAACTTTGATTCACTCCTCCACTCTACAGAAAAGTCGAGGAAAACCTGGGCGTGTGTGCCCCTCTGCAAGCTTGGCGTTAAAAGGGTTTTTTTGCACAGTCTGTAGTGGTCAGAGCAACTTATTTTATGGGACTGTCCCAAAGCCCGGGCTGATTCTGGAAATACAGTCCAATAAAACTACTTTGAGTGACTCTGTGCAGTGCGTCCTGGAAACTGAGACAGACTTGTGTTGCAGTTTGCCAGAGACACGAAGGTTTAACCTACCTGATTGCTTAGGTAATACAAAATTAACATTTTAGTGTGTTTTTTTAAGTAGAGGGATCGTGTCCTTCACCTAGTTCCAGGGAGGGGATTTAAGGGACTTGGGGTCTTTTTGCACTCTGCTGCCAATGCTCAGGACTTTCCTCGCTGCAGCGAGCTGGGCAGAGACATTTGAGCCCCGTATGCCTGCTCTGAAAGAAGCACCGTCCCTCCTTTAAAACATATGTGGTCATTTTAAAGCGAAAGAGTAATAGCAGGCTCGATAGTCCAAGTGGCTCGGACTGATAATGGGCGAAGATGTAGAATGACGGCTGCTTTATTCGTGATGGGAGAGTTTTCCGAGAGGAGATGGGTGCAAAGTACACAAACCTAGCCGAGGGATGCTTCTGGTTTTTATGTATGTGTTTTCTGGTAGAGACCTGTCGAGCAAGGTTTGATAGCTTATTGCCTTTATAGATTTTTAATAATGCAGCTGATTCGTAGCAGGAGGATGCACTTCTGGTTTTCTTCATTTTGACATAACCCGTTTAAGGCCTCTAAATAATCAGTTGTCTGGCAGTGTTTACTTCTAGCAAGTATTATCTCCGTATATTTTACGTTTAGTTGTTCTGTGTGTCAGTGTGTAAATATATATTGTCCTGGTTAAGAGGCTGTTTGTATTGACTATGTGAAGTGTTGGTATTCGCCGTGCCATCAGCACGAGCAGAAAAAGATCTGAAAGGGTTTCCCTCGTACCAAAATATTAAGCTCAGGATGCTGTAGTAAAATGTGCTGCGTTCGTCTTACATACCCGAAAGCACAGACACGCGTGTGCATGTGCCTGTACGAGTGGCTTTTGGGGAAAAGTTAGGCGCCTGGTTCAGTTCGCTGCAGAAAATCACTGATTTCAAAGATAGCTCATAGCACGTTGAAAATGTGCTATCTTTGGGCAATAAATAATCCGAGTTTAGGGGTTGCTTCGACAAAACAGGTTTCACGGTTGAATTTAATCCCCCACCGTTTGGGAAGGGGCTACGCCTGCGTGAAATAAACGCGTTAATGTCTTGAAAGGTTTATCCCAGTCTCTCAGGGCTGGGAAGGAATTCTCGGTCAGCCGACTTGCGTGACCTCGGTCACTGCTGGACTTTTTGGTTCAGATATTTATGAATTATGAGGTAGTGGCTCGAACAAATAAAACACAGAACCGTGAAAGCAGCCTGTCCATGGTGAAGTACCTAAAGGGACCTCAGAGTCGCCGGCTTCAGGGCACTGGACTCTTCAGA